TATTGTTTTTAGTATATGCCATATTGCCATATTTCATTTCATTTTAAATAATTATGACAGGTTACAAACAATAAAGTTAATGGTATAATCCACAAAAATCGTATTTTAGTTTCCTATTAGTATTTTTAAACTTAAGAAGCCAAAATATAATACTTCCTCACAACCTTGCAAAAGTTATTTTGTCATTGATCATCCGAGCTGCGAAAACCTCGAGCAGGTGTCCGATAATTTCAGTATGATGGTTCAGTTTTTTTTCGAAAATCTGACAAGCCAAGACAGATATACCTTTCTCTGTGACTTTGACATAGATTTTAACGTCGTTGTGTGAGCACAAAAAACGGCAAAACAAAACAATAATGACATTAAGAACAGTGTTGAATGCTCAATTTGATTCTCGCTCCTCTATTTCTTCGGCTACTTCTATATTCATACTTTATTATTGTTGATTCCGCTTGGCGTTTACACAAAGTGAATCAACTTCGATCGAAGGGGAGTGAGTAATTGACAAAGCATTTCTTGGCGCTTCTCCGCCGGTTCGTTCCTCCCATTACGGAAGTTCATTTGGCGAGGTCGTTGGTATCCAAGAACAGGCCGAAACCTCCACATTTCCCATTTCCCGGCTCCTGTTTCGGGGCTTTTTCAATTATTCTATGTCGGTCAATGCCAGCCACGCGTCAAGTTAACATTTCAATATATATAGCTATATACATATATATTTGTTGGGCCCTGCCTTGGTCGCGATTTAAGCAACGCATGAGGTAATCACATTCACACATTCAATGATATGCCCCCATATAGTTTCATGTTTCCAGGGGAAACATCGGATTGAGGCAGAAAGGCAAAGGTGTCTCCTTCTTATCGGTTCCTCTTCAAAGTGGATGACGCACTGTGTTCCTGGGTCTGGAAACACCAGCGATCGGGTCGTTGCCTTCGGCAAACCAAAACCAATTGCAGTAAATCTGTCAATTGCCTTCGCACAAACACACAATCACTTGATATCCAGAGACCTCGGGACTCGAGCGGCTGACTGAAATATTGTTCGATACAAAATATGGCCACAAAGTCCGGAAAAGATTCAGCCAGAGCTGCGAAAAAGAAGAAGGAACCTGCATGGCAACCGATGGAATGATTAAAATTGAGGGAAATAGAAAGTTCAGCGACTATTTGCAAAGTACTTCATTGTAAGGCTTGTAAATATTTAAAGAAAATAAGAGCAACTTTTTAATAATTTTTAAACAGTCTGGCTTCCTCTTTAAAGTTGCAAATATTAATAAAAAGTGTTCAAGCTTATTGTGAAGTATTTTATTTATAGACTAGTAATTTTCATTACTTAGAAACCACTGTAACAAAGAGACCAAGGGTCTCATATGGCAAGAAATTGTGCCAGCCATTCTGCATAAAATATTCTACTTTATAGAGACATTTTGATTACTTCTGCCCGACTAATTGGCAGCTTGGACAAAGGCAAATTAGTTTCCAGTGTGTGTGAGTTGAGTACAAGTTATGAGCTCAGCTCATGGATGATGACAACATTTGACCATGGGGCCAACTCGGGCAAAAGAAGTAAATGGAATTTATATCTGCCATTAAAGCTATTTAAATATTGCAAAAATACAGAGGAAGGGATTAGAATTTATATTCCAGATGCTTGTCAGACGCAAGCAGCGATTTATATTCAAGCAATAACCATTCGCTGATTTCAAGAGAATTATGATGATTAATCAGTAAAAATGTATACATTTCAGATCGATCGACATCGTGTGTTTAAATAATACAAAAAGGTATTAAAAATCAAAGCATTGTGCCGAGTCTAGTGGTTTAATTTTCAACAGAGTTAAATAGTTCTGTATTTGTTTTTAGATTATAAAACACTTTATTCGAAAATTTTTCAGGTTAAAAACATATTTTAAAGAATTTATCACAATTTGTTTTTGATTTATTTATAATTTTTTTTTTTTTTTCTATCGTTTTATTTCCTGGTAAAAAGCATTATCAAGAAACTTTACTTTTGTTGCGTAGTGATAAATACATTTTTTCTTTTGTCAATTACGTATGAGTCTCCTTAACCAGTTTTAATTTATTTATTATTCAATTTCAATTCGAGAAAATCCGTCTCTTCCTTTATGTAAGGTAAAGTGATCCACAATTGCAATTGTTGCAACAGACCACATTGAGTGTCATTCAGTGAAGACTTTCCTTTTCATTAGACAGGGCTAAAACAGGTTTTCCTCACTCCTTTTCCTTTGTGGCCACTTGTCCAACGTAAGTGACGTAAGTGGACCTCAAAGGGGTGTGGTGGTGGGGGTAAAAAAATGTGGAAAACCATGGGTGAGACGCCCTTGGCGTCGCAGTGCATCAATCAGTCGCTCTAATAAAGAAAACATGGACAAATTGTCTGGCCGAGGAAGATGGTGATGGAGAAAAATAAATGCAAAATGAAGATTGAAAGGAGGGGAAAGAGAGGGGGAGGGGGAGAGGGAAGGGGGTTGGGTTGTGGAGAAGTTGTCAAGTGCAGGCAGTTTTGGTCTTCAAGTTGTTGCTAAGCCGACAGCGCAAACACGAACAAACCACTTCGAAGTAAGTACTATATGGCGAAGGCATTACTCATACGACGCATTGTCACCCCCCTGGACCCTCCTTGAAAACCCCCCTCGACCCTCCACCAACCGACGGCCCTGTGTGTGCCGGCTATTTATAATACCCAAGCCACATAATTCATTGTAATTTGCCTTTTGCTGCCACAGTCTGCCCCTTTTTTACATTTTCCAGTTGCATTTCGTTGGGTAAGAAAAAAAAAACAAAAAAAAACGTACGATCGTTCAGGAATATTGAGAGTGAGGAAAAGGGGCGGGGTTGCAAGGGGGATTTTGGGGGGCTGCAGGCACTTGACTCGCTCCTCGTCACACGCAAATGCGCAATCTGCCAAGAATATAATATACACATATCTTTTGTATCTGCTGTATCTGTATCTACACATGTTTCATCCGCCTTGACTTTGGTCTCTCTTTAATCTCTTCTGGGATTTGCTCATTGTACAAAGGCTAGTGAAAAAGATCCCCCTACTTTGTATGCATTTCTCTAGTTTAATCTATCCGTTTAGCGGCAGCACATGCAAAACCCCCAAAAAGTGAGTCATCCAATAAACTTTTTCTATGGCAAACAAATTAGTCATCGAGCTGACGGGGGCACCAATAAAAAAACTGTCACCAAATTGTGGCTCAAAACAAGTTGGTCAATGGGTTTGGAAATACTCTATAAAGTGGTTACGATTTGTAATTTACAACTGGTGATTGAAAGCCACTAAAACGATTTAAGTTTGGCTACAATAAGAAAGGATGGATGCAATTCGAAATGTATTGTTTCAAACTGAACAGCAATGAATACAAACAACCAATTAATAGTTTTATATTGTTTAGATTTTATGTAAGATTTCATATGAAGAAATAACAATAAAGAAAATTACATTATTATATAACATTAAACTCAAAGATTTGGTCTGCAAAAAAAAACTGATTGAAGTACTGACAATCTCTTTTATAACAAGTATAACCTTTATAGTCCTTATCTAATAAAGACATACTACAATAAAACATCATAATAAATCTGGATATATTTGTTCATTGTACTTCCAACCACAACTGCCATTTAATACAATTTATTTTTCAGCATTTTCGCAGTGTAATGGCAATTGAGTAAACTGTTGTACGCTTTAAAACGAACTTAATTAAAGCGACCTTTTGTGTCACGCTCGTGTTTTTGTTGTTGAGAGCCACCGCCCCCACAAAACCACTGGGATCGAACCCCCTCCCCTCTCCTCCTCCCCCCTTTTTCAAAAAGCCTCCCATCAGTTGACCGAAAAAGTTGAATACACCGCTCGCTTTCTGTGCAAACATTCCATGGCTAATTTCATTGATGAATTTTTATTAAATAAATTATTATAATGAGGTTTACCCTCTATTAGAGGTCTTTCTCCTTTCCCCTCTTGCTGTCTCCCTCTGCCTTTTTTTACGCTTCCCGCCTCGGCAAGCAATTCCAGCAAATGGACATAGCAAATTTGCAAACAAACAAAACTAAAGAAAAAAAAACTATAAAAGAGACAACAACAAATTATTTGAGTGGCGAAATTATTTCTTGCGACCGAAAGAGACGGCGAAACACAATGAGAAAGAGAAGGCGGCGCGTGCTGGCACTTTAGCGGTTCGAAATGAACCTGAAACTAGCCCTAGACGACAATATTTTCCGGGGAAAAGGGGCAGGGGAAAGGGGGGTTCTGTCCGGCCATCGGGTATTCTCAAAACTTGTTCAAACAACGCTTATGCGTTCTAAATTTAGTCGAATGCAAACCAAAGCCAAACCTCGGCTCTGTCCATAAATAACTTTCGGGGACCGTCTTCGACTTAATTGATTAAGTTCGAAAAGTAGACAGAGCGGCAGCGTTTTGTGTATAATCGTGTAAATATTTGATCAGCCCAATACTATACGAGATAAAGCCCCCAAATGCCAGGTCGTAAATGTGGAAAACCAAAGCCACAAGTTTTGTGAATGAATTTGAAGAGGAAAATGGAAAAGTCGATAAGATAGCAGCAAAATTTATTTACCAATTGAACTAAATACTTTTGGTTCTAACAAAAAATGATATAGAAATTTATTTATAAATAATTTGTTAAGATAACTCAAGTTGGGTAGGAAATTGAAAAACCGAGGAATGGAATTTAAGAAATAATTAAGAAATATTTGTTATATGAAGAACTTTCAGCTATATTTAAACAGTTTTAATCATTTTGAATAGAAGTGGAATATTTGTTATCTTACTACTTAAAATTTACTTTCAGAAAAATATATATTTGATGTGAATAATTTCCATCGTATACAAACATATTTCATGTTTCCCCAATTTAAAATTTTTTTAAAAAAACACTATTTTCTCTTTTTTAATTTATACCCTTAACCTATTAAGATAAAACCCTACATTCAAAAGATATATTTTTCGGGTGACTCACCTTTCAGTCTCGGATTCTGCATTTGGTTGCTGTTGTAGCTGTTGAATTTGCTGCTGCGTTGCTGCTGCTGTCGATGGGGCTCCTGTTGCTGCTGCTGCTGCTGCAGCTCCGGTTGCAACTGCAGTGGTTGCTGCCGCGGTCGCCAGTTCATCGGTCAAGGTCAGCGCGTTTGTCGTTGCCTCGGCGTTGGCCACAACAATCGTATTCGTTAGGTTTAGATTACTATTATTGGCACTAGCACTCGCGATATTGGTTGGCGGAATCTGTTGCTGTTGTGTCGGCTGTTGTTGCTGTTGCTCCTCTTGCTGCTGTTGTTGTTGTGGCACCATCAATTGCTGCGGATCGGCAATTGTGGAAGGAGCACTCTGCAATTGCAGCGTGGGAATTGCTGGCGGTGCTGCAACCACCGATGTTGGTGCCGTGCCGCCGCCTCCTGTTGCCGCTGCTACCAGATTGGGAGGCTGTTGCTGCTGCTGCTCGTAGCTGGTCATGTGTGATAGCAGCGGCAATGTCTGACCCTGGCCAGTGGTTACCGCTGCTGCGTTGGAAGTGTTTGAAGTCTGTTGTGGCACAACTGCAGCAACTGCGGATGTTGCAGCTGCTGCTGCTGCTACTGTTTGTTGTGGGTTTGATTGCTGTGGATTCTGCTGCTGCTGTTGCTGCTGGCTAAATGGCTGTGGGACTATCCCATCTATCTGCGATGTTGCCTGTTGCTGCTGCTGCTGTTGTTGTTGCTGTTGCTTCTGCTGTTGCTCCAATTGGAAGTTGGGCGACTGCCCGGCAGCAACAGCTGCGAATGTGGGCGCAGCTTGTGGGGTAAGTGGTGCCGGCGACAGTGGCTGTTGCTGCTCCACATAGCTGGTGCTCAGCTGCGCTTCTCCGGTTGCTGCAGCTCCACCGCTGTTGTTGTTGTTGGCCGCCCCACCAGCAACATCGCCGCCGTTCTGGTAGTTGGGATAACCGCCTCCCGAGGGGACGTCCATGGCCTCCTCCCGTTGCTTCAGCTGCTGCAACGTCTGCTGCAGCTGCATGGCCGCCGTTCGAGCGTAGTCCATGTTGCTGGGGTCACCGGCCGGATTTGGCGAACCGGCATTGGCATTCACGCTATCGAAGAGTTGCTGCTGCTGCTGGGCCTCCATGTGCAGCTGGTGCATCCCGTGCACCACCGTTGCGGGGGCGGTCATCACCCCACTGGGCGCGGCACTTATCTGTTGCTGCTGCTGCTGCGAGGATTGCTGCTGGGTCTGCGACGGCTGCTGCGACTGCGACTGCTGCTGTTGCTGCTGCTCGGCATAGTTCCAATTGGCATCGGTCGAGTTGGCCTCCAGGTGATTCTCGTTCAGCTTCTGCGTGGGCGGCAGAATCATGCTCTGGGTGGTCTTGTGCGGCAGGGCGGCATCCGTGCCACCTGCGGCAACACCTGCTGCTGCTGCGCCATCCGCTGTGGCAGCGTGCGCATCGGAAGTTGAAGAGCCAGTCTTTTCGTTGTTGTTGCCACCACCACCACCACCGTTGCCCACACTCGAGTGGTCCAGGTAGTCCATGCACATCCAGCGACCGCGCTTGAACGGCTCCGTGGACTCGATCTTGACCACCTTGAACCGTTCGCTGCGATGCTGCGTCTCCTTGATGTCGTCCTTCTTCTTGGTGCCGCCGGGAGTCACGGCGCCACTCACCACATTGATTATGTTATCCGACACGTTCACCTGGACATTCTGGATGGTCTGGCCGAGCGAGGGGCCAATGGGATCCACCACAACGAGGCCGTACTGTGAGCTAGTCGGTATCACCGGGGCATTCGTGCTGAGGGCGTTGTTGGCATAGTAGACCTCCTCCTTGGAGAACGTGTCCTCCGACATCGAGGGCGTCTCGTTCTCCAGATCCGTTATCCGACTGTTGTCATCCGTGTGAGATTCGTCCAGATCGTCGGCCGACTCGTCGCCAGTATCGCCAGCCGCATTCAGCTTGGGATGGCCCACCGTCACCGAGGTGATCTCGAATGAGGAAGTCGTCTTTGGTTTGCGATTGGTGGCACCACCAGCTGCCCCCGAGGACCCACCACCACCGCCACCACCGGCGACGGTCAGCGAGGCGTGTCCTTGACTCAGGCTAGTCTGTTGTTGCTGTTGCTGCTGCTGCTGCTGATGTTGCCCGTGGCTGTGATGCTGGTGGTGGTGATGGTGATGATGGTGGTGATGTGGCTGATGGTGATGGCTGCCTGCCGACGCCGATGCAGTTGCTCCGCCCACCGAACGAGCGCCGTTGTTGTTGGGCGAACTGGCCTTGGTGAAGCTGTTGTTGCTGCCGCTGCCACCGCTGCTGCTGCTGTTGCTGCTCACCGGTGGCTGCTGTTGCTGCTGCGAAGTGGAGTTGCTGCCACCGCTGCTGCTGCTGGATTTGGGCGCCAGCGATGTGGAGGTGGACGTGGCCAGGCTGGAGTTGCTGCTGGCGCGCGACACCGTTGCAGCTGCGGCCGAAGCTGCCACACGAGTCAGCGAATTCAGGCGCAGACTTTCGCTGGTCGTGCGCTGCAGCGCCGAATTGCTGCCGGCATTGTTGCTATTGTGATAGATGTAGCTGGGGGGATAGCACACGGAGAAGCTATGGTTGTTGGTCAGCGAGTTGACCTTGGTCAGCTTGCGTATGTTTCCTCCTGTCCCGCCCACACTGACCCCTCGGGCGGGCGTCAGCATGGAGTTGCGGCGCCCCGGATTGTTGCCCGTTCCAGCATTCGCGGCAGCCGGCTTGAACTTGGCGTTCACCGTGCGATCAAACATGTTGCTGATGCTGCTGCGCTGCTGCTGGTGCTGCTGCTGCTGTTGCGGCGTGTTGCTGCTGGTGGCTGCAACTGTTGCTGCTGCTGCTGCCGCTGCTACTGCTACTGTCGCGGATTGCTGTCGTCGCAGAAGAGGCAGTGCTTCCTGCGAGTTTTCCGGGGACGAGGCCTGCGAGTTAGTGGGCGATTGATTAGCTAAGGTCGATGCGGCCGATGTGGCTGATGTGACTGATGTTGCGGCTAGTGGTTGCTGATGTTGCTGGTGTTGCTGTTGCTGCTGCTGTTGTTGTTGGTGACCGGAATCTTCGCTGGCCGCACTTTGATTCTCGGCCATAATCGAATTGGATTTCAGCGTGCGCAAAGTCTTTAGCAAATAATCCAGGATTGACGTTTCTTGGATTATTTGGGCCACGGAAAAAAGTTATTTAACCTTCGGTTAGTTTTACTAAAAACTACGGTTTATCGACTGTCTTTATATTTAGAATTAGATATATGTATATATATAGATTTATGTATATTATTTAATAAGCCTGTTCGATGGCGTTCTGTGTCAGTTGTTTTAGCTGCTGCTGCTCGCCCGCCAATTCGAATGCGATTTTTGCACTGGCCAGCCGACGACGCCGATGCATAATAGCGGTTAGCGTTGCGTTGCGTTGTCAGGTGCCACCGACTGCCAACTGATCCGCTCCGATCCGATCCGATACGATACGATACGATCCGTTCTGATCCGTAACCGTCCGTACTATAATGTTCCGTTCCGTTCCGATCCGATCCGAGGACTAGCGACGATCACGATGCGACGCGACGCAATTTGAACCGACCGGCGATGGGTAATGCGAAACTCTTGTTTATTATTATTACTTATTATTTTTTATTATTTTTTTTTTTCTTATTGTTGGGGAGTTGATTTTGTTAGGCTAATAAATTGAAATATATTTATTTGGGGGGTGGTCGTTGTGGTGATGGTGGTGTTGGATTTGTGTTGTGGGCTTGGTGGGCGGTTATAATTTGCCTTTCCGCGTTTTATTAGCTGCAGCATCAACAACAACAACAACTGGCACACCGACAACAACAACAACACTGGTCAAAGGCGGCAGCGAGAGCGCCATCTAGCGCTTGACTTTGTTTAGCGGGCGTTTCAATTTTCGCCACCAACACTGACATACACTAACACACACGCGAAACACTCACGTACACGCACACACACACGCGCGCGCCCCCTTACACACACAGGTGCATGTGTACATACAGCACAGCTGTTAATCGAATCAATTCGATTTGATTCGATTCGTTTCGCCGATTTTCAGTTGATTCCTTTTTGGAAAATGACTTTTTTCGGGTTGTTTCAAAACTGGCTATCACGCTTAGAATATTTCTTTAAAATTATGAAAATATTTTGGTGATTTTGGTTAACTAAGGATTTAATTTAGACTTATATTTGTAATTCATGTAGTTGTTGCACTTTTCCTCTTCGTCGTCACACTTCTCACGCATGGGTTTTCAATTTGCTGTTTTATATTTTTGTTAACTTTATCTCGTAGAATTAATCAATTTCTCCAGTTCAGTTTTACTAGCACATCGCAGTAAGTTGTAGAAATGAAATTCCTGTGAAATAACAGAACAAAAGGGTACCGACATTTATAATTTTATTCAATTAACATGGTTTGGAGGAAGATATACGAAACTCGATCAAAAATAAACATAAATATTATTTCCTATTATTGGTTTATTAAATTAAATGCGCACGAAACGATGCCGGCCACGTTGATCGAGGGACAAGACAGGGGGCGGAGAACAAAAAAAAAGGTAAATAATTGCACCGAACAACGCGACGTATACGTAATATAGACAAGCGAAGGGTGGAGGCAGCCCCAAATGGAAAAACATTTGTCAAGAGTTCATTTGGGTAATTAAAAGCATTAAATAAGAACAAAACAATATTTATGGTCTCCTTAATAAAGGGTTGTCTTCAGATTACTTTTGGTATATGTATATGTATATGTAAATTTGTGATTCCTAAATATTATATTTAAATATAAATTAATAACTAAAATATTTGTGTTAAAGTTAACTTCATAAAGAAAACTTTTCTTTCAAGGTATCAGACCCAGATGTTAATATTCTGAGTTTAGTGACTTGGTTAACCACAACCATTGAGTTTCAAATCCAAAAATAATATTTTAGCAGCCCTTTCTGGTACAATCACAAAAATGGTTTTCAAATAAAACATCTTTAATATTTATTTGTCTCTGTCAAAATGTCTTTATGTTATTCGCCTCAAGTTAAATCCAACCTTCTGCTTCTGTATGTTGGATGATTTTCTATAAGTATCTAGTTAAATTTCATAACTGCGTAGTACATGTTCGTTTATTATCATCATGACGATGTTGATGATGCTTTTGTGTGCTTTTCGTTATTTTTTGTTTCGCCTCCTTTTTTTTATTATTGATTTCATTGAGTTGTCTGTGTTGTGGGTACGTCGTAGTTTTGTTGAATTAGTTAAGTGCTACTTTAGAGGAAAAAGGTTTGGGGTGGGGGTTTCCTTTCGAACCAATGCAAAACTAATTGTTTATTTTTAATAACTTTTTTATCATCTTTTTCTTTTTGCCGATCGTCTTATTTATTTTTGCATTTGCAATTGAATATTCAAATATTTATTTTCTTTCGGCATTGATTTTTTGTTTTGCCTTACTCATTATTTAATCGATTTCGTTTACGGAAATCAGAAATGAGCGCGCAAACCAAAGAGAAAGAGATAAAAAGGCAGCAAAAAAATTATTCGCGAAAAAGTTGCCGAAAAAGTTTTGCAAACATTTTCGGGCACACGCGCCGTTTTTTTTCACGCACTTGTGTTGGTTAATAACCGTAAGCTCTGACGATCATTCATAAATTGCGTGGATTCGTAAGAGAAGAGAAGGCATGTATGTGACGGTACAGTGGTCACTTTATAACATTTTTTTTTTATAAAAGGCATTTCGAAAATGCATGTAATTAGATGTTATTTTATTTTAAAGTTATCTTATATTTTTGTTTTTAACATGTTTATAATGCTAGAATTCACAAAATACAACTAGTGATAGAATAATTGTTCTTCATACTTAAAAAAATCTTAATTTTTTGAAAGTTAAGGTTGGCTCAAAAGGCTAGAAACTTGAAGAAATGGGTTAAACTTGTAATTTTCTATTCAATAGTGACTACTGTAGCTGCGCTTGAACTCAGCGTGTGCCCTGCCAGAAGGCAAAGTCAAGACCTTGACGTTGCTCTTTTATTCTATCTCTCGCTTAATTTTGTTTTATTTCTTTTTTTCCTAATCGAGTTATAAACGACGCAAAAAATCTGATTATTTCGGCTAAAAGAGGAATTAGTTAAAAAAAAAGAGACAAGCAACCAAATCAGCAAACCAGAAGAACAACCGTACAACTACAACCAAAATTCAGTTATAGGTCAACATTGGTCGTAGCACTCTGTCAAGGTGGGTTATTTTTTTGGTGCTCTGGTGTTTGTTGGGTCTTTAAGAGTCTATTGGCCTTGTTCTTGAGCCACGCAGGTGGTGATCGAAGATTCTCTTTATCTTGTGAGTTTTTGAGATCGATTGGGGGAGTAACTGATTAAAAACTTGACATAATTTATTTGATATTTTTTGTTCGAATCAAATGCTTTTGCTCAAAAAAAGTTGTGTATGTATGTACATTATATAGTTTTAGGCAGTATGTTTTAACCCTGAAAAGTTATTTTTTTGAGAATGGCAATACATATTTGTACATATAAACACTATTTCTCAATCCCAAACCAATCCACTTAAAGATTCAATCCTTTACAATCCCCACGTAGACACACAGAAAAGAGGCCCCACCTATTCAGGACAATTACAAGGGAAATGAATATCCATCCTTATAACTCAACTTCTGGACAATAAACTTGGTGTACCCCCCTTTATCCCCCACAGCCGATAATCAAAGTATCGTTGTAGGCACCAGATTTCACACACCAACAAATTGGCGAATGGGGAGATGGAAATGGAAATGGAAGGAGGATTTCTTTCACTCTTTGCTCTCTGCCTGGCAAAATAGCAAAAACAACAACATGGAGATGGGGAAAAAGAAAATGAGAACTAAAAGTGCAGACAAGAAACAAGCAACAGAAGAAGAACTAATTGCAACGACAAAGCATAAAATCGATGGCAAGCCAACAACAACACCAAAAACAACAAATGTAATGAAAAGCAACTACAACAGATAGTACAGAGAGTGAGAGAGAGCAAGCGAATGCGCGTTGCAGTCAGAGAGAGGGAGCTCCAAAAGAGCGAGAGAGGCAGCCTGTTGGCTCCCCCGTGCCACCTTTCTCATCCTTTTAACGTGGGCGCCTACAAGTGGGCGGGGCGGGGCGGGGGCCGCATACCAAACAAACCGCAAAAGGAGAGCGGCTGCCCGTTCGGTCTCTCGCTCTCTCTCGCGGACAGCTGCCGGTAATCAATATTGATGATGATAGCAGCAGCCGAAGATAAAAAAGTGAAATGGAAAATGGCTCCAATTTTTCGCAGTGCATCAAAGAAAATGAGAAAGTAAAATCAATATTATTTAGAAAATAGGACCAATTTATTAAAAAGTAATCTTAGTTATTTTGTTTCATTTAAAAAAAAAAAACTAACACAAAGTCTTTATCTGCAATACTTGATGTCTTGCTGAATATCGGCTAATCCCACTTTCATACTTGGTTTACCTTGTGATATATAAAACCAAAAATTACGATACTAAAATATTGTTCAGTGCATCTGCACAAGAGAACATTTACCATGCGAAAAAAAAGGGTACCATTGCAGTTACTGTAAACGCTACAGCAATCAATAAACTCTTGTTCATCTTCACATATTAAATGTTTACTCCAATTTACACTCTTGGTAAGTTCCCTAATACATGATATTAGCTTATAACAAACTTTATTCCAAATTAAACCAAAACAAATTTGTTGATACATATTCTTTTGTTTAATACCCAATAAAAGTATTCGAAAATTGATATATGAAAAATACTTTTCAATTAGAGATTTCCCTTCTCTTATTTTAACCCACAGGGACTTCCCACCTTTTTTTACTCTTCTTTCCACAAGGAAATGATTCACAATGCAAAAAATGGCAAGGGAAAAGGAAAAGAAAAACGAAGGCGTTGTAGGAGGAAGTAAAAGAACCCGAACGAGAAATAGGGAGCGAGAGAGAGGCCGAGAGAAGGCAATGAAAATGTTTATCAAACGAGAAAAGAGCATCGAAAAAGAAGGCGACAAAGATGAGGAAGAAGAGGAAACAACAAGTCAGAGATTACAATGACAATGCATCCAAAAGATAGTCTGATACTATTTGAAATCTAATAAAAATTTATCAATTGAATTGAGTGCCAGATTGTGTGGCAGAAACAAATCAAAGGTATAAAACAAATATGTGTGTTGACAACATGTTTCAATGTAATTTAGGTATTATTGGCAAATAGAATATGATACATTTTTATACCGAAATCTATAAATTAATTGAACCACCTGATATTGGAAAACCATATTTATTATAGTTAGCCAATTCTCTTGTACCAAATTGAGGTGACAAGTCCACCTCAATAGAATAATTTTAAATTACTCATGTACAGCGTGAAAATCAACTCCACAATAAAAATATAAGAGCCAACAGAAAAAAAAGATTGAAACCGAGCTTGGTAGACGTGACTGCCTGCACACGCATATTTTTTTCAAATATTTTTCAAGTCAAAGAAATCCAACGTATGTATTTTCAATTTTATAAAAATTAGTTTTTTAAAAGACTAATGAAGTTTTTGGAAAAAAATATTATGCAAACTTTTAAGACTGTGCCAATTTTTATTCCAAGAGCTGAAAACAATCTGAAAAGTATCCGATTTCTAAACACAAACTTATAATCCAGTGACAATTACAAAATGGTGCAGGGTAAACAGAAAATTTTGCCACGCGGCCCGACAAGAAAACCAAAGAAAACCGATCTGGACTGAGGTTTATTTTGTTTCGCTTTGAAATCTGAGATGCTTTCGGAGGGATGATCATTATGATCTTGATGATGTTAAATAAGTTCAAGGGCACACAAGGCTAATAAGATTCATCGATATTAGACTTGGCACAAATGTGGTTCTGATACAAAAGGTGTTCTTTCAACTTTATTCTCCGAAATTAGCAATACCCAGCGGGAAAAACGATGTGGAAGATATGCTATTTTCCAGAGATTTCTTCATACAAGCGGAAGGGCAAAAACCTCCTTCACCCCTTACATTTTTGCCGTCTCTCCTTTCAAAATACACGGGGGTGACACACAAAAGGAAGGGGTAAAGGAGGTTTCTATGTAAAAATCCACAGGTTTCAGAAACCCACCCTTATTTAGCGGACCAAAATTTTCAACTCCTACCCCTACGCCTGCTAAAAGAAGCAGGATTTCCAGTAGTCTTAAAACCGAAAACCTACTTCTAAAAACCTACTTCTCACTTTCCCGCTGGGTATCCTTCTGGTTATTCTATACAAAAAACGTAAATTGGTAAGTATTTTTCATTAAAATAACCAAAAATGATGAGTCTGCTTATTTTATACGATTATTAAATAAGATAGTTTAATAATTCAGTGACCCTGTCAAAAATAAATATTTTGTTAAGAATTTCTTTGCAAAAGTTACTCTTGCACAGGTTACTTTATACCTGTTCATAATTCATAACGCTAATTTACTGTTAACCTAAACAGCACTCAAAACTAAACACTACTCGAATTTCTATAGGAAATCACTTAAAAAATTCTCCATAATATCGGATGGCAAATAAGCAGAAATATTGCAAAATGGCACAAAAACAAAACTAACACTTGACTAAACAATCAAGGCGAAACAAAACAGAAAGAAAACAACAATGAGGGACCAGCTGACATTATAAACAAAAGCAAATGGCAAAAAAACACAGCAACAAAATAGCAAGAAAACTGGAGTTACAGTTAATCAAATGCTTGGCCAGCTGTTTTGGAGAAATTAGAATGGAAAGAGGAAATGGGAAAATCTAAGGTACAAAGTGCAAACTGCAACAACAAAACGAGAGTGAAGAAGGGGCAAATCAAAAAGGATGAGCACACACACACACTCCAATAGTTACGCGACATTTTTGCACTTATGTTTCATTGAATTTTCCTTTATTTAAAACATGTTTCGCTTTGATTTTTTTTTTGGTTATTTTCTGATCGATTTGTTGCACTGTGCGGTGGCGGCGATTTTTTCCGTTCGGCCTCCCAGTTCTCCTATTTTTCTTTTTATTTTTGTTAAGCCACTTACACGTAAGATAATCGAGTTAAAAGTACTGCGTTTCTTGTTATAAAATAATAAACTAAAAACAAGCGAACGGGCACAGTTGAAATTTGGATGGGATTTTAGTTTTTCGTTGCGTTTTGCTAATCGGACAAAAGGAAGGTAAATGACAGTTTTGACAGTTGGCTGGCATAAGCAAAAAGCGATGAGCGAAAGAGAGCCGGAGAGCGCGAGAGCAAGAGCAGAAGAGTGAGAGCGCGAGCGAGAGAGAGATATTAAATAAACGAAAAAGCGTGCATGAAAGATTGGCGAAAAAAGTTTTGTGCAAAAAAAAAACCGAAACGCCGAACTGCGGAAAGCAAACAATCCAATTGAACAAATTTTTTGTACTTTTTAACACCAGGCATTTTTCTTTTTAGTTTTTCTGGCAAAGGCGGCTAACACCCACACATACACAAACGCCTCTCTCTCCCACTCTCTTCAAATCTGCAGAGAGTCGGCAGTCCACAATTTTTTAATTTTTGCAAGTCTCTCCGCTTGTCACTTTACTTTTTGCAGCTCTTTGGCTTTTTGCAAATAAATTAATTTTTCAGCGCATATAAATTTTCCATCAGTGCCTTTTGTGCTCCGTTTTCTTATTCAATTTACACGCACACACTGCCGCAAAAGCAGCAGCAGCGTACGAACACACATGCATACATCTGCATGCCAGCTCGCTCACACACACAGCGAACGCACACGTCACACTCACACAATCACACGCACGCACATACACAGTTTTTTCTTCGATTTTGCGCTGGCCTCTCAGCCTTTTTTCGCTTTTTTCTCCTCGATTTCGAAAGCGCCGCGAAGTTTCAGATTTTCCCGTGTGTCCGCGATGAGTTCCTCTTCAAAAACAGTCACGATATGCGCTTTTCGTTCGCTATTATCAATAACAAAATTAAAATTCTTTTCACCTTGAAATTTTGTTGTATGTCCGCGATGAGTTCTATTAAAAAACATACTCAAATATTATACCGAAAAAATACCTAAATATACCAGGAGAAAAGTACACGTTGGTCGATAGAATCCTACTTTATTTAGTATATGAGCTATCGCTGAAAACCCCGTAGCGAAAGGCCATACTCTGTAACTATCGCTATTTTGCGCGGCTTTTCAAGCTGTTAGGGCACTAATCCCGTGCGGGCACACTGATTTTAAGTTTTTGGCGGGTAAACACTATTTTAAAAATAATATGGTTTCCATTTAGTCCTTATGGTTTTTCGACAACCAATTCAATTATTTATACGTTTAATGGGTGTGCTTACATACGATAGTTGTTATTGGAGTACAAGGCAAAGAAAAGGATAGTTTCAACTTGAAAATATATTTAAGCTATTTCATAACTTGCTTATCAAGTTATTTTAATACAAAATCAATGTAAAGTTATTGTAATACAAAATAAATCTCAAGTTATTATAATACTAAATTATTTTTTTGATTCCGTGTTTCAGTTTTAACTATTTTTAAAGAAGTAATTCGAAACATTTAAAAAAAATTTATTAGAAGTAATCAACGTTTATTAGCGTAATAATAAATCGATTTTCAAACAAATGACAACCATGTATTTGAAGTGTAGTTTTAAACATATGTGAAATTGTGAATGAAATTGAAATTTTAATCGTCATTATTTCCAGCACTAGTCTAAAATGGCAAATGGGCTCGATAGTTTTGCGATGAAAGCCGATTAATACTAAAAAAACTGTTTACTGCTGAGCAAAAAAGTGCTTGCAGTGTTGGAATATAATCGCATGTTAAAAAACAACGGTTATTTTCAAATTTTTGTATTTGGAAATGAATTTTAATTTTAAGGCGGCTTGAGCTAGATCCTGTGCTTAATTAAAAATGGTAAAAGTTTTTGGGAAGAACCATTTTGTATTCTCATATTTTGCTTTACAATCGGATATTATTGAAACAACAGCATTATAATTGCACGAATACTAAATATTTGCATTGTCTTTTCAAATTTGGCAGTTTGTCTCTTCGAGGAATGCAGCAAAGGCATCAAGGTAACGTCCTCATAAAAAACTAATATAGAGGGCGCTATTGAAAAAGCAGTCTATGTATAAGTGGTTCTTGAATAGGGCGTTTAGGAGGCGCCTTTACAATTGCCAACAAAAGCCGGTAGATGGCGTTATCGGATAACTCTCTTTTGAGAAATCAAACATTTTAAAACAAATTTTTTAAATGGGGACAGGGCCGTAGCTAGAGCCTCGGGGGCCCTGGGGCAACAAGTAAATTTGGGGCCCCCTATACGGAAGTCTTTTGTCAAATTTTAAAGTACGCTTAGGGTTGTCTATGTGTGGAACGTTTGAATTGCCCGCGCGTATAGTGGTCGCGAACACTGTTCGATACCTCGATTGACGCGAATCAGCGAAAACATGTTGTTTTGTACATTATCTAATAAAACTGTAAAAAATTTAGAATTTTTTTATTTTGTTAGACTATTGTGATCCATTTAAAGCACATTCAGAAAGTCCGAAAGCCATGGTAAGGCTTTTTCAGAACTAAAAAAGTGGTCGAGTGGCCCCGGCGGGCCCCTTCCCTTCGGGGGCCCTGGGGCACCGCCCCACCTGCCCCATGCTAGCTACGGCCCTGAATGGGGAAGAAGGTAAATAAAAAAAATGTACTATTAGAATTATTTAATGGGCATAATAATTTTAACCTTAAACATTTTTATCGATTAAATTAATGAAGAATCAAAATTTAAAATGTGTTTCATTTATGATTTCTTGACTTGTTTAGCACTTTTTGTTTTATTTATTAAGGAAGTTAATAATTAAAAATTAGACTTAATATCGTATTATTTTGTTTTTACAATCTCGTGAACAGTTCAGGAACTGAATTATGAGCAAAGCTCAAATTAATTTTGGAACTATTTAAACTAAATGAAATCGTTGAGTTCTTTAATTGATTATTCCATTTCAAGGATTATATCCTCAAATTAATTTCCCAAAAAGGTAGCTGCAATTTACTCGAGCGGTTTGATTTACTTGCCATTTTTTGTTCTGCGTCTCGTGGATGTCAAAGCGGAAAGAAATCACGCTAATGATCGACGAACCCTCCACCAGCTAAGTCGATATATATACGCCTATACTTGACCAATGGGTCTGCGATGGAACGTGTTCGGGATTAGAATTAATTCCTCTGACCAGCACCGCCCACCCCCACCCAATTTCACCCCCTTCCACCCACTTCCACCCACCGATTGCAGGCGACACCCTCGCGTTTGGACAACGTCTCATTTAAATTGCAGCAGGCAGGAAAAAACATTGGACAAACAGACGCCCAGAGCCACAGACTCCCCGGAAAAACTCCCCTTTTGGTCGGCACTCGAAGAGCGAAGATTTTCCTGAACATGTTTTGTGCGTAATTAGTGCAGACCGATGCATTGCACCCTCGTTAAATGCCGAATTTCTGGGCTCCAGTCAAGCGTGCTCTTCACTCGCCGCCTTTCGTCCTTTCCTCTCCTCGGGTTTTCTTTAACAATTTCCATTTGATTGCATCTCGAACGGAGGGAAAATGCCTGCTCCAGCATTCATTAGGGTGACCAGCGGCGGCGGGCTTAACTGTCATTTCCATAAGACGCCCATTTGGTCAAGCATGCACTGAGCAAAAAGAGCGGTGCGTCGCTTATTTCCAGCAAGAAAAATAACTAAAAAGAAGTTAAACATTCGCTTAATATTGTAGTGTATTTATTTGGATGTTTTTGCTATCAACAGGAATATAATGCCTAGTTGGGAATTAGCTTAAATTCAGATAATTTTATTCAATAGAAGATACAGAAACCATATTTTCAAATAGGATTGTCCAATAAAATTTATAGTATCCTTAAGAAAAAAATATTGTTACAAGAAACTCATTTTTTATTAATAAGTGTGGATGTCTGTAGTTCGGATAAGTGTATGTAATTTTTAGAAATTTTTTCGATACTGTTTTTGAAAGTAAAGTTCAAAGATCATTATGAAAATTCATTTTGGTTAAAACTGCCACCAACTTACTTCTGAAAATTTACTACTTTATTACTTTGCTTTGTTTTTTTTTTTTTTTTATTATAAATATCAAAATATCATTTTGGTTAAGTGTATTTGGAGCTGTAGAAGTAAAATGGGGAGCCGCTCCATCGAAACACACACACACACACACGCATCCCCACCGCATATGCAAAACTTTGCCGTTTCATTTGAATTTCTTCACTTACGTATTCCGCATCCTTCGCTCCTCGGACTTTCTCCTCATTTCTTGGGCCGTAATTATGAAGATGAATGTCCTTATTGCTTTTATATCCCTTTTGCGTGTATGTGAGTGTATCCTTGGTGTGTGTGTGTGGTTGAGTTTAGCCGAGGACATTCTCTATTAATAATGCTTTCAGTCACACTCTGCATACACGTTCGTTTGAATTTGTTGCCATTCGGACTGTTGGCATTTTTTGTGGGTATTAAACAGTGGAATAATATCGGTCAAGTTTAAATACCTTATATTTCAGTTCGAGGTGATGCTTAGTTACCATCTAAATCTATCCTATAAACTAAAAATTTGATTTGCATTTAATATCATATCATTGAGCAAATCTAAAGACATTTTAAATTATTGTATAACATTTTATTATTTTCTTAATGATAGCTATTAATGAAACTAATTCTTACGGATATGATAATTTTCTATACAATTACCCAATTTGGAATAACCTGTGACTTCTATGAAAAAAATTAGCCTTTTAAAATGTGTTACTATTTAGACCCTCCTAAAATAAAATAAATTTAGTTTAATAAATAGGGCATTAAATAAAATGGTTTTTCAACAGGCATACAGTTGCAGTAACTATTTTTTGGGGGTTGACACCAGAATTATTACTTACTAGAATACTACTTAAACTTTGGTAGTACAATTTTGGCTAAAAGTATTGGTTTCTAAACAAAAGTTATACAACGTAACTTGTTGATAAGTAAGGACTTACAGTTATGTACCCCACTGTGCCGCAGAGGGAGAGGGAGGAGAGGAAAGAGCGTGCAACGTGCGACGCCTGCCTCTGCCTCCCACGCATCTCGTTTCTTTTCCTTTTGACGACGGCAGCCGCAATAATAAAGGAAAATCCGACAGGATGCTAATGCGTATTTAGTTATTTAGTTTGTGTGTGTGTGTGTGTGATTGTGTGGGGAATGGCAGGGGAAAGGGGGAAGGAAGGGAGGGGAAAGGACTTAGGACTCGCCGCGTTTATGTTTGTTTTACGCTCGTGTGTGTGTGGGGGATGCAAAAAATATTTGCATATTATCGATTTTTCGTCCTCCCACTTTCGGAAAATGGAGTGGGAAATAGTGTACAGGATACACATAAATTCTGATAAGAAAAGAAACGTCCTTAAAGCTCGCCAGCCGAGCTCATCTTACATTTATGGAAACTTAAGGACATTTAAGTAGCTTAGAATTCAACTTAAACCGATCAATTTGATTTTCAAATGGGAAAAGAAACTCGAGACTGAATGGAAAACGTGTTGGGCAAACCCAAAATGGCCGAGGTCCTTTGAGCAGCCTAAGCGGATTCCAACAATTTAAATAGAATATTTTTTAGAGGGCAAAATGTCAAACGTAAAAGCGAAACGAATGCGTCCAATTAGATTTGGGCAGGCCAAAAAAACTTTCCAATCAACCCCCAAAAATGTTTTTGCTGCGTGGGATTTTTGAACAGCTGCCTGGAGGCAAAGCGAGTAAAATGGGGAGGAGTCCTTTTCGAGGTCCTTGGGCCAGTACAAGGCAGAAATTATGAAAAGTAATGAACTGTAAATTGAATTGGTATTGTAAGGAAAAAATGACTGACGGGAAGGAATATTTCTACAAAAAAATCATAAATGTATAAATAATATTTGTGTAGGCAGTAAGAAACAAAGTTTATTTAAGTTTATACAAATTATACAGGAAAAAATGATATAAATAATAAATAAAAATACAAATAAGAATTTTGTAGTTGTGTTATTGTATATTTCATAATAATAAATCTCAATAAAC